AGATGCACCTTGTGCATCTCAACATCGCTCATCCCGTCCACAGCCCGGCTGTGGACGAACACATCGTCGAAGTAGCTCGGTGCGAAGTCGCGCACCGAGCGCAACAAGTGCGTCACGCACCTGTTGAAGGTCGCAGGGGCGTTCTTCAGACCCTGCGGCATCACCAGCCACTCCCAGAGCATGCCGCCCGGCGTGCTCACAGCCGTGAGAGGGATATCGCTCTCACGCATGAGGATCTGATAGAACCCATCGCGCAGATCAAGAGCACTGTAAATAGTGCTCCTGGCCATCGAATCGATGATGACATCTTTTCGCGGTATCGGTGTCTGCGCCGGTATCGTCGCATCGTTCAGCTTGTTGTACGCATGAACGATGCGCCAGTCGCCCTGTGGCTTCTTGACACAGAACGTCGGAGCACTGTGCGGGGATTTTGATTCCCGCACTTGTCCAGCTTTGCGACGACTCTCAAAGAAGTCGTCGATCGCCTTGACCTGCTCTCGCGGCAGTGGCCACTGCCGCGTGACACAATACTTCGTCCCCGGCACGAGATCAATCTCGTGCTTGATGCCCTTGTCCTGCGGAAGCTCCGCAGGGATCTCTTCCGGAAGTACGTCCGCGTACTCCCGTAAGATTTCGTAGTAGGGACTCGTCTTCAACGAGTCCCAGCTCTGCTCTTCAAAGCGCTCCTTCTTCGTCTTCGCACTGAGAGTGTCCTCGCTCGCAGTGGTGCTCTCCATGAAGAACTGCCTCCGTTCTTCATTCTCGCTCTTCGTTCTCTCGGCGTCCGAGAGAATGCATATTTGCTCGATGCGTCCATCGTGCAAGTCACGCGCGAAGCGCTTCCAGCTCATGACTGGAAGCGAAGTCAACTCCGACGCTTGCGTCGGAGGGTTAGCGAGAGTCATCTCCCTGTACCGGAACCCGGCACAGGTACGCGTCAAGACGTTCAGCGTCTCGACGTCCGGCTTCTCCGCCTCCGTCTGCCCGGCAGACATTCCTTGTAGCGTCTCGGCCCCAGGCCGAGACTTGCGCAGCGACCTTCGCATGCGCCGTCTTCTTGTTTTGCGGAGCCCGGCTCCGCTTGGTTCTTGACCTCGTCCAGGCCCAGCCGTGGACGGGTGTTCTTCTTGTTTACCACCGGCGGGTTCGTCCCGCGGGCGAGCGACTTCAAGCCCGGCTTGGTCGCCCGGCGCTTCGTCGTGCAGCCCGGCTGCACGACAGTATGCAAGTTTTTCCGGTGCGGGACGTTTGCAACCGTCCGCACCGCGAGCAGCGTCGGCTCCCGGAGCCGACACGCCATCTTTACCTCGACGCCTGTTATTGGCGGAGCCCTCCATTACGGAGGGTGCGTCGGCTCCCCGAGCCGACGAATCAAATTTGTCCATGCTATCGACTCCCGGAGTCGATGCGACTTCAATACCTCGACGCCAACCATTGGCGGAGACCTCCATTACGGAGGGTGCGTCGGCTCCCCGAGCCGACGAATCAAATTCACCCAAGCCATCGACTCCCGGAGTCGACGGCGTTACGTCACCTTGGCTCTTATTATTGGCCAGACCTGATCCAATCAGATTCGCGTCAGCCTCCACGGCTGCGGCGTGTGACTCGCCTGCGTCATCCGTGCCCCTTGAGGCCGGAGACTCTTCCTTATTCGCTGAAAAGCGGGTGTCGACCTCCGAGGTCAACACATTTCCTTCATTAGCTGTCGGCGGCAACGCCGACGCTAGCTGCTCTTGCGCGCGTGCTCGCGCGCGCCCAGGGCGCTCCGGGACAGCGGCATTAGGCGCTGGAGTTGCGCGCACCTGTCGGTGCGTGCGTAGCGGCAACAGGGCCATCGCTCACTGTTCCGCTGTCGCGACCGAAGCGCACGAGAGTGCGCTTCTCCCAATCGATGACTGGATCATGCCGTGCAAGCCACGGTATGCCCAATACAATGTCAAACTTATCGTCCAGATCCAGGACGATAAAGGTCTCGACAAACTCTTGATTTTCATACGTGAAGCGCACGCGTACCATGCGCTTCTCGGTCTTCACGACAGCACCCGTTGCCAGTCGTACTTCCAACATACTTCGAGGTGTCTTTAAATCCTCGAAGTCAAGCCTTGATAGACTTCGCAGTCGAACAAAGTTCTTCGACGCGCCAGCATCTACCAAAGCACGGAGAGAGCCGCTTGCTCTCATCGAGTTCACATTCAGGATGACAAGGTCAGGCTTGTCATCTTGGTTTTTGCAGTGAGAATGAATCTCACAGGGGGCTGCAGTCCTCAGTGTCGCGCGTCCAAGATCGACACGCGGAACCGCATTACCAGTAGGGCGCCCCCGCGCCTACTGTTGTCCAGCGTTTTTTTGTTTGGTTGCGCCAGTGCCCGGCACCGCCGCGATAGCCACCCTGCTGGTGCACGGGGGCCGTGCACTCCCGAGCAAAGTGACCGACTCTACCGCAACGGTAGCATTGCACGTTGTTTCCCTGCAGCTGCTGGGGTCCAGCAGGTGAAGCACTCGAGAGGTCCATGGGTTCTGGGCCTCCCGTCCTCACTACCGGGCGTGGCTGTGGCCTCGGCACATGTGCATGCAGCTTAGCCTGCCGCAGGCTAAACTCCTCCTGCATTGCAAGAGTAATTGCAGCTTCGAGAGTACTCGGGTACTCACGGAAGAGATAGGTCTTCACAGGCCCATCTCTCAGCCCCTTTATGAACGTGACGACCTTGGTCGCCTCGTCGATCGGATTGGTCACGATGTTCGAGACCAAGTACCGTGCTCTCTGAGCGAAAGCATGGACATCATGCTTGCCCTGCTGCAGGTCGAGGAACTCCGGCCTCGACCGGAACTCGTTTTGCGGTGGCTCAAACACTTGCCTGAGCTCTTCCTTGAAACCCTCGTACGTGCTAAAGCACGTAGGATCCGAGAGTCGGCGTCCATACGCCCAACTTCTAGCACGTCCGCCAAGACATGACATGGCGAACGCAACCTTCGACAACGGGTCGATGATACGTCGAGCCGCAATGGCAGTGTCGAGTTCGACAAGTCAACGGAGGAGAGGTTCACCCTCTCTTCCGACATAGTTACTCACATTGAGCTTTAACGATTGCGCGCGTGGTGTCGTCCCGGACGACACCGCCGTAGTAGCAGCAACATCGCGTTGCTCCTTCAGGATGAAACCCAGAGCAACACCGTGTTGCTCTGTCGGCGTTAGCGTACGCAGCATCGTAACTACAGCCGCCTCACCAATGACTGTTGACAGTCGTTGGAGAGCCTCCCACTCTGGATCCGACAGGTGGGGACAGTCAGCGCGTGCAACGTGAGTTGCAGGCGTAGTGGAGCTTTCCATGGGCACCTCTGTATCCATGGGAAGGTTCTCAGCTCCGCGTTCGTGCGGTGACGTACGAACTCAGGTAGTCGGTCGTTGGACGGACTACAAAGTGCTACCAGGTGTAATGGGCCTACTTTGGCCCACTACTTTAGCTTACACGTGTGCGCGTGTATGTGAGGAAGCGTAGCCTAGTTTAAATTAGTTAATTATACTCGGGCCTCCGAGTATAGATTAATCTAAATAAACGATCCAAATAATGTTTTTGGGTTAAAATGAGAACTGCTATTTTTGTTTTATGTTTCTGACTTCCTCTAAATGTAATATTCTAAGATAGGAACCTGCCAACGGCTGGTTGGCAGAATTCCAATGCTATGCTTGTCGCTCATTGGCTAAGAGATGCTGCTCTCAACCAATAGGAATCCTAAGTCTCTATGGACCACCCGTCGTGGTGATCGTAAATGTATGTAGCCTTTGGTGTATCTACACCAAGGTCGAGAAAGTCTTTCAAACCTCTAACAGACGTCGTATCTGTTAGAGTTACAAGTGCCTGCAGCCACTTGTGCGTGTAACCCTGTTACAGTCATCTTCAGCTAAGCTTGGTCGATTATGGCGCAAATTGATACGTTTGAATGCAGGTTTTGGTAAATAATAAACGATTAGTATCAACCTTTGGTAAATAATGTGCATAAATTTTAGCATTTATTAAGAAAGAGAGACCCGGTTTGGTACCCGGTTTTGGAAAGTTACAAGTTTTTTTACCTGGGCAAGCACAGGTCTTCGACCTGTGAACAGTGCGTAGTTTGGTAAATACATGGCTACGTATCAAAAGTAGAGTAATTCGTCTTGAAAATAATGCCCGAGTTGCTTCCAGAATCCACCTAGTGTTGTCTCGGAAGTCCGACCAAATCGCCACCTAGTGTTTGCACACCACTTATATCGAGCTAGCTCGTCACAGATTGAATGCAGACGGTTCTTTTCTGTCGTGGGATATGTAGTTATATTGTTTTACCATTTCTATTCGCTACAAACATGCTTTTCAGCTTCATAGGAACCGTGACGCGAATTGGCACCTCACTCGTTCCCCTGGTTGGTGTACAGCGGGGTACTCACCACTCCAAAGCTTTACTAACCATTCTAAGCAGCTTACTAGGCGTTATTCGAGCTGCTTAATCGAGTTAGTTCATTTATTACGCTTGAAACAGCTCTCCACGAGTTTGTTACCAATCTTACCGATAGGTTTCCGGGTGCGGCTATAATTTTGACCCGACCCAAAGTCTGTTTTTCGTCCATTGCAAAAAAACGGTTACAGCTTTTTCGATTCTGATTGTTGCATCTGTTTTCTATCGACTCTAGACGAATCATAAGCAGCGGTTTGGCGCCGAAAGCACAATTTAAAAAAATAATTTTTGGGGTGCGGTAATAATTTCGGCGCGCACTGTATGTGCAGGTAGATGAGCGCCTAGTTCGCTGCAAGGTTTTAAGGGCGAGTCGGTGTCGTTGGTCCAATCGGGCGGGTTGGTGACGTTGGCCCAGTCGGCGTGGTTGGTCCAGTGGGGGTCGTCGGGCCGGTCGGAGTAGTTGTTGTTTGTGCCAGCGGGATGCCTTGGCCCAGTTGGGTGGTGTGGTCCAGTGGGATTGCTAGGCCCGCTTGGTCCTGTGGGGTTCGTTGGTCGAGCTTGGTCCCTGCGGTTTACCGGGTAGCCGGAGTTGTTGGGCGCGCAGGGGTTGAAGGAGTAGACGGGTTCCTAGGGTGAGAGGGGCCGCCGGGGGTGTAGGGGTTGGCAGCGTTCTCGAAGGCGCCAGGGTTGGACGGGTTGCTGGGGCTCGCGGGGTTGGCCGGACGGTAAGGGTTTCTTGAATGGTTTGCGTTGTGTCTAGCGCTAGACGGGTTGGCGTGGTTCGCCTCGGGACGATCATGACGCTCGGGCTGGCGCGTTGGTGTTGATTGGTAGTAGTCCGGGTGGCGGGCAGGCGCGCTCCAGCTCTCTCGATTTACTGGATAGCCACTGTTGCGGGCCGACTCGGTGTGGCCGCGCAGCTCTGGCTGACGCGCTGGTGTCGAGAGGTACTGCTGCCGGTCGGGAGGCGAACGCGGGGGATGCGTGGCATGGTGGTGCGGTGAATGCAGAGGCATAGAGGTCGAACGGGGTGGATTGGTCGCGCCCTGTCGGTTCCGGTCATGGTCGTGTCCGTGATCGCGCCGCTGCGGCTGGGCCCTCGGCGGAGAGTAGTGCTGCGGGTGGTGGTGGTGGTGGTGGTGCGGCGACGACGGCCTGGCAGCCATCGACTGTGGCACCTCCATTCGTAAGTTCCGCACGACCGACTTCGCCTCCGTGTTAACCGAAATATCGGCTGAGGCAAGGCTCAATAAAGCAGCGACGGCCAATATCGTCACGAGCTTCATGGCGGATGGCGGTGAGAAGCTCTGACTGCTTCAAGATAGAGGGGTACTTGGGCCTTGGACCGAGTTGGTAAATTGAAGAGTGAGATCAGCCTCGGCTTTCTCTTCGTCCGAGAGGATTTTGCTGTTCGTTCGTTGCTAGCTGAGATTTCGACGGGGGGTGGCGCAATGGCTGCTGGTGCATAAAGCGATTGTGCAGTGAAATGGCCTGACGGCGCTGGGAGGTGCCCGTTGGGCGAACAAATCACTCGCTGCAGTCGCCTCCCGCCCCCATCCACTCACTCACCGCGACCCGAAAAGGCAGCTCTGCATGCCGCCGTCAGTTGAGGGCCAAAAGTCTTGACCGAAACCACTTGCCCAGCCTCCGGTTGCTCACGAAACCACCGCTAGGCTGTCTTCAGGAGTTATGTTTGGTTCCAAATAGCACGTACTTGCAAACTGAAGCCGAAGCGAGTTGTAACCGTGCGGTTACATACAAGAGCGGCGCGTAATGAGACTTTCTGGTGGCGAGTCAGTAGCAAATCTGCACACAGCAAGCCTTGTTAGTTGGTGGATACGCGAGAGCACTTCACCGTTCGGACAGACATATTATGAACGGTCCAGTGGCAAGTGTGTGTAGTGCTCGTGAGGACAGGCCACCAATAACAAACCCCCAATGGAGACGCATAAACCCTCGGGGGCGCATCTCGTAGAACTTGCGGTCGGCCACATCAACTACATTGCAAGTTTTCTGTTCTCCCTGCACGGCGGGGTTGGTCATCACGCTGCCCGTCGCTCCAAAGTCCGTCTGGCCGTCGGTGGATAACACAAGTCCACCGCGCCGGCGAGCACCCGACGGGCACGTCGCCCACTTTATTTAGATCTTAGCCTACGACTCACTAACGGCCAAAGCTGCCGTTTCGTTCGTCACTTGCTCGTCTTCAGCACAGCCACTCGGTAGCCGTTCGTCCGTCCAAAGTGCAGCACTCGGGTCACTTGCGTTCTCCAACGCCGATTTAAGAGTGAGCTCTCACGCTGAGCTCTCGGCCGCCCAAAGTCCGTATACTGTACCAAATCCAGCGGGCCCGCGGTCATCGTTTGCGCATTAGGCCGGCCGCCGGAGGTACTCCAAGCTTCCCTCTACGACAGCGTGCCGGCCGTTCGCAGGCCGCGGTCCTCCAGACCAGCTCTCGTCCTCTGCTCGTCCGATTCGTCCATCGTTGCGCACATCATCGGACGCACGCAATTGCAGTCCTCCGCACGTCTTCCGTCCGTTCGTCCACCGTAGCGTGTGCGATCACACGCACACAGCTGCAGCCCTTGGTCACAACTTCCGCCCGTCCGTCCATCGTAGCGAGTGCTGACGGGTGTTCGCACTTGCGGCCCTCGGCCACGGCCGACACTCGCCCGTTCGTCCCGTTCGTAGCGTCCCTCGTGCGTGCAGCTGGTCGCGCCACCTGCCGCCCTGTTACAACATGAAGAGATAGCAGTCGAATTGCTCTAGATATATTATCTGTAGCGACTGAGTGCGCCGTGGCTATCGGTAAAGTGTTGAGGTGCTGTAGTACATGTGGCCTCACCACGCTAACGCATTCATTGAATGAATTTCATTCGACACCTCCGATTCATTGAGGCGGGGCGGAGCGTTAGAGATTGGTTTTAATATCACGTGAGGAGTTACTGACGGAAACGCTGGCACGCCAAGGTAACTGCTCGAGTATATGTTAGTATCGAGTGCTTTCTATCCGCACGGGTAGGAATTCTCTATTACGGCTCTCAGTAGTGAGAGCCCCACTTTTATCACTATCTAGAGGCATCATTATCTAGAATCATTCAAGGGACATGTACCACCAACGGTTAATTGGTGCCGCGTATTGTTTGTCTGAACGGTTAGCTCCTGTCATGTAGCCACCAACTGACAAGTCCACCAATGGTGAGCACATAAATCACTGACGAACTCGGAAAGTCTCGTTACGTGGTCGTGTGTAACCAAGTGGCAACGGCAAGTTGAGATAATAGTCGCGAGAGAGATTCAGGCCTCACTCCTTGTACCCACGAGTTGGAATCGAGCCCTTAGACAACAGCGCAGGAACCCGCTGCATGTAGACTGTGGATATGCAGTATCAGCGGTGGTATCTACCGGTAAGGTAGTGTATGGCTTCTCTTCTAGCGACCCACACGCGCAAACTACGCATCTGACCGACGACATGTACTTTCCAGTGCAACAAGCAGCGCTTATCTAAAGCTTTGACCATGTATGGTGTGTATTGAGTGTAATACAAGCTCATCAAGTGCCAAAATGGCCGACACGTGCCATGTCTGTGCCAACAGACAAGACGCTCGTTTCAAACATCGTTTTGCCGTTCGCAAAGGGGTGCCCCTCTCACCTTCGCCTCATCATGCACAAGTGTGTTCATGCGCATGTACTCCGGTGAGTAGATGCCAAGTGGTGCCGACAGCATTCCGTCGCGGGTCAGATCTAGCCGATCTTGCCTTGAACCCGAAACGCGGTGGTGCTTCTGTATCGTGGGAGACAGCAATCCTGCGCGCAGCTTAAGTTCGTGTATGCGGCTTTGCGATAGCGTCGCCTGCTGCACGAACCACGACGCGCTGAGGTGGAGACCAGTTTGTTGATGTAAACGCCAAGATAGCCGGTGTTACCGCCACCTGCGAGTTCCCCGCGCTCGCAACGTTCACGTTCGGAGCGGGGATACTGTGTGAGCCCCACGCAGATTGATCGTAGACGGTAGGAGCGAGCGCTACAAAGTTCTTGTCCCAGAATCCACAATCGGCGTACTCCGCGACCAGTCCACCTTCTCGGATACGCCGCCGTCTCGGCCTGAGCGCCACCCCATCGTCCATCGCGTAGTCTAGTATATCTCCTCCAAAGTTGAGGTTCACAGAAAAACCATACTGCTGGTTCTCCACGCTGGCGCGAGCGTTCGGGTCCATGATCTGCGCCTCGTAGTCCGACATTGTGCCCGCGTGCGTCCTGGTCTCGAGCATCTGCGCTACGTCCACCTCCACGATCTCGTCCACTTGGTGGGTCACGCACCCGCCCGAGAGCAGCAGCGTGTGAAGCTGCCGTCCAGCGCCACGCCGTACGCGAAGTCGTTGGCCGTCGTCCCGAACTGACAGCAATACACACATGAGGAACACAACACACAACACAAAGACGCATGAGCAAACGCTGACCATCATCACCCACCGACTGGAAGCCGCCAACGCAACAACCTGCCGCATCCAGAGCTTGTCGCCGCTGAGCGAGATCTTGGCCAGCACCACGTCGTGGCCGCCGTATTGGCCGAAGCTGTTGAGCGCGTGGCCGCCTTCGTGCGGGTACCCCCACGTGCAGCCGGCCATGTACAGGTACTGACGATGGTGATGAAAGTTGCTACGTCGGCCTCGTCCGTCCCCCACTGCCCTGCCATTCACCCAGTGTCACTTTAGGCTAGAGTCGTCCAAGGAGCGCTCGAGTGGGTCGGACGACCCACGCACGTACTTGTCTGGTCCAGCCAAGCGAGTCGTCCGCCTTGACTTGAGCCACGAAGATGTCGAGCTGGTCGACGTCGCTACTGTCGAGCGTCTTGGAGCCCGCGAAGTAGAGGTTCCCGTCTGCGTCCTGCGTGCCTCTGCTGTCGATGCGCACGACGGCCGCCGCTTCCGGCTGCTGCCAGTCGAAGTCCTCGTTCGTGGCCATCCACGCCTGCACCTCCTCTGGGGTCAGGTCCGCCGCTGCGACGATGGCTACCGCCACCAGCAGCACGAGGACCGACAAGCCATAGCAGCTGGCCACGAATGCAGACATTGGCACTACTGTAGTGGAGCGGCCTTAAGATTCGTAGAAGTCCTCATTCACGGTCATCCCTGAAGGCACCTCCACCGGGGTCCGCCGCTGCCGCGACGATGGCCAGCAAAAGCCCCAGGCCACAGCAGCTTCTCACCGACGACGGCATCGGCATTGAGGCTGGAGTCGAACGGACGAAGAAGATTCGCTCAGCAAGGGGCACCCGAGCACCGAAAGGCGGGGCGCTAAAGTGGGCAAACAGCAAACGCTTTCACTCGCCTTGCGACCTCAGCGGGCAGGGCCTCCGAAAATAGCATTGTCAATAACATTATTTCAGAAAATAACAATAAATCACGCATTTCGGCGTGTTCAGCCATCTACCGTGATAATTTATTGATGTGCTTTGTGATATTACATAATTTATGACAGTTACCTTTATATAATAATGTTAGCGTTTTACCAGCCATCTTCTCGCTTCCAGTCGTTCAGAAGAACTGGAATCACTGGTTGTCTGCGTTGCTAGTTGCAGCTCATTTGGCAGCGCTCACTTTTCAATTTTCACTTCTCAAGCCTCCAAGACATCATCCAGCATGGTTCGCGCTATCCGCCCCCCTCGCCCTACCTACACGAACTCCCAAGTCTCGGGGTTTTACTTCCGCCCGTGTCGCGACGAGAACGACGAGGTGATTCTCGAGTATTTCCGTTGCCGTTGCGGCACGGTTCGGAAGCAAACCCATAGGAACGGGTACTCCAACCTGATGCAACATATCAGGCGGGAGCACCCTGACAACGAGACCGTCATGTTCGACGCTACGACGGCGGAGACAGGCTCCCTCGTGAACTTCGTCCGCCACTCGGCGCTCAACCTCCACGGCTGGATGGTTTGGATTGTCATGTGCAACCTGCCACTATCTTTTTGTGAGAGCCGAGAAGCTCGGCGGTACGTGTATGCATAAGGTCATTGTGTTTACATTACTACGGAAACTAACAACTTTACTTTATGGATGTTATTCAGCTACTCCAGCCTGGACCCCATCTCGGAGGAAACGCTGCGGGCTGGCATGGACGGGGTCGTCGTCGCCGTCGAGCGTTCGATTGCGTCGGAGCTCCCAGCACGCTTCGGCATCATGCTCGACGGCTGGACACACGCATCTGAGCACTACATCGCCGTGTTCGCGTGCTATGAGGTGAACGGCTGTCCCAAGACAACGCTACTCAGCATGGCCCCGCTGCTGGACGCGCTGGACGACGATCTCTCCGCGCAGGGCCATCTCGAGTTTCTAGCGACCATGCTGCAGCGCGATTACGGCGTACAGCTGGCGCAGTGTCGCTTCCTCGTAGCTGACAACTGCGCCGTAAACCGGCGGCTGGCAACTCTTATGAGTGTGCCGCTTGTTGGTTGCGCAAGCCACCGCCTGAACCTTGCTGTTCAGGCGGACATGGCGTCGCATGAGGAGGACCTGGCTGCTGTGCAGGCGCTCATGGTAAAATTGCGTACTCTCACCCAATCTGCCAAACTACGGTAAGCGCCAATGTGTATGTGTGGTGTGTCAATATGTCTCTAACACAATTTGTATACTTTTGTAAATTGTTTTACAAAATAGGTTGAAAACGCCACTTCGGCCTGTCATTCGCCAGGACACGCGCTGGAGCTCTACGTTCGAGATGGTACGGCGCTACCTCCAGCTCCTCGAGTTTCTTGACGCCGAAGACGACGCCCTCATGGACCTGCTGCCGCCGCCGGCGATGAACAAGCGACTGCGGGCATTGTACCAGGAGCTGTGCGACATCGAGTCGGTCTCGAAGGCCCTTCAAGGCCACGACGTCGACCTGCTGGACGTTCGCGAGTGGTTCGACGAGCTGATCGCTGTCAAGCCACAATATGGGCGCTACATTGGTAAGTTTATAACTGTTGAATTTGTGTTCAATATTTTCACTAATAATTGTATAATGGTTTTTATTTTGCAGGGCCTCGGGCCAACATTGTGCACAACCCAGATTTTGAGGCTGGGTGTGTACGCGTTCTCCGCGGGAAGGCGCAGCGGCTGACGCGTGCTGAAAAGGCCGCTTTGCAGCCCTTCGAAGCTGCCAGACCGGACGACGCGGCCGCGAGTGAAGAGGAGGAGGATCCAGCCGCGTCGTTCGTGGAGCGTCTTCGGAAGCGCCGGCGGCTTGCACAGGACCGTGTCAAGTATGAGCAGCTGAAGAGCATCCCACCCACGTCGAACGTGGTGGAACGATTCTTCAGCATTGCTCGGGTGACGTTTGGTCATCAACGACACGGCCTGCTGCCACGCACGCTTGAGACGATTTTATTTCTCCGCCAGAATCGGTCGTACTGGGATGCAACGACTGTGGACAATTTGAGCTAGATGATAAGCTAACTGGTGTCTTGTTAATAGACTTCAGGCTTTTCATAATGGCATTATTTATTGTGGTACGTTGGGGGCAACGCCATAATGTACTGTTGTATTGGTAGGAGCGTCAGGGGATAATTTATTCAGCAACGCCCAACCTACTAAATAAAAATGCCATATTCGGAGGCCCTGTCAGCGGGGCGCGTTGGCGGTGTTGGCGGCCTGAGGTTTCACTGTGGAGGGAGGCGGTCGCTGCGGGTCTGCTGTTCCGGCTCCGCAGAAGGCGCAAGTGGCGCTGAAGATGCGACGGCGCGGCCTTCACTCCGGACGTCGAGGCGGACGCTCTGCTGCTGCACCGCGGGGGTAGCAAGCACACCAGTAGCAGTAGCAACAGCAACAGTGGAGCCATCAAGCCGAGGTGCACTGGTGCACGCGCAGCCTGGTCCCCCAACTCGTAACACCAGCAGCCATGGCGTATGGAATGGTGTCGCCCGGGACACTCATCTGCAAGGGGCGGCGCCAACGCGACGTGGCCCCACTTGGCTTTCACCTCCCCTCGGACTGGAATAGCAAGCAGCACCTCTCCTTATTGAATGTTGGCGTGTCACAACAACGATTGTGATTGGCTAAGAATTGAATCCGACCTAAAAGGCCCCTACATGGAATATATTCGGTACAGCATACATACATGTACTAAATTGCGGTACCAGATTGAAAATCGTTTGTCACGATACGCGCGGGCAACTTCTCAGCTCGCGAAGTTGCCCCACGATCGCTTTCTTTAAAAACAAAACAAGCATGCTTCTTGGATTACTTGTGTTAACAATGAAGCCTTCGAAAAGTATGTGCAGGGAGGTGTAGCACTGAGGTCTTAAGATACCGGGTTGCTCGGGTTGCTTGGTCCGCTGGGTTGCTCGGTCCACTGGGATTGCTTGGTCCACTGGGGTTACGAGGTCCACTGGGGTTACTTGGTCCACTCGGGTTCGATGGACCGCTGGGGTTGCTGGGGTTGCTCGGTCCACTCGGGTTGCTTGGTCCACTGGGGTTGCGAGGTCCGCTGGGGTTACGAGGTCCGCTGGGGTTACGAGGTCCACTGGGATTCGCCGGTCCGCTGGGATTCGACGGTCCGCTTGCGTTTGAGGGTCCACTCGGGTTGCTTGGTCCACTGGGGTTGCTCGGTCCACTGGGATTGCTTGGTCCACTGGGGTTACGAGGGCCACTGGGGTTACTTGGTCCACTCTGGTTCGATGGACCGCTGGGGTTGCTGGGGTTGCTCGGTCCACTGGGATTGCTTGGTCCACTGGGGTTACGAGGTCCACTGGGGTTACTTGGTCCACTCTGGTTCGATGGACCGCTGGGGTTGCTGGGGTTGCTCGGTCCACTGGGATTGCTTGGTCCACTGGGGTTGCGAGGTCCGCTGGGGTTACGAGGTCCACTGGGATTCGCCGGTCCGCTGGGATTCGACGGTCCGCTTGGGTTTGAGGGTCCACTCGGGTTGCTTGGTCCGCTTGGGTTACGGGAACCGCTTGGGTTGCTAGGTCCACTGGGGTTGCTCGGTCCGCTTGGGTTTCTGGGGCCGCTGGGGTTTGAGGATCCACTTGGGTGTGAGGGTCCACTCGGGTTGCTTGGACCCTTTGGGTTGCCGAAGTTGTAGGGGTGACCGGCAGTCTCAAAACTACCACGGTTGGATGGACGGAAGGGGTTGCTGGGATTGCCTAAGCTACCGTGGTTCGGCGGGTTTCCAGGCGAGCGGCGAGGCGTGGTTGTGCTCCCGTGGTTCCTGGCACCGTCGCGGAACGACTCAGGGTGATCGCGCCACTGCGGCTGAGGAACTGGCACCGAGGAATACCCCAAATGGTGAGGCGACCGGGGTCGCGCACTAGTGCCTGATGCCACATAACCACCATTCGCGGAACGACTCAGGGTGATTGCGCCACTGCGGCTGAGGAGCTGGCACCGAGGAATACCCCGAATGTTGAGGCGACCGGGGTCGCGCACTAGTGCCTGATGCCACATAACCACCATCGCGGAATGACTCGGGGTGATCGCGCCGCTCTGGCTGACGCACTGGCGTCGGCTGCTGGCGCGGAGGCTGCGGTAGCTCCATGGTATGGTAGTGCGGCGGCGGTGATTGCCAGCGGCGAGGTGGCTGCGTGGCATGGTGGTGGTGCGGTGGCTTCGGAGTCGAACGGGGTCGTCCGTTCCTGTCATGGTCATGTCCGCGATCGCGTCGTTGCGGCTGGGCCCTCGGTGGAGAGTATTGCTGCGGGTGGTGTGGTGGTGCGGTGACGACGGCCTGGTAGCCATCGACGGCGGCACCTCCACTCGCAAGTTCCGCACGACAGACTTCGCCTCCGTATTAGCCGAAACGTCGGCCGAGGCAAGGCTCATGAAAGCAGCGATGGTCAATATGGTCACGAGCTTCATGGCGGGTGGTGGAGGGAAGCTCTGGCTGCTTCGGGGTAGAGGGGTACTTGGGCCTTGGACCGAGTTGGTAAATTGAAGAGTGAGATTAGCGTCGGCCTTCTGTTGTCCGAGAGGCTTTTACTGTTCGTTCATTGCAAACAGTCCGGCCGGGGTCGGCCCGCTGGCTGGTAGTGCTGGAAGCGGTTGTGCAGCGAAATGGCCCCAGTACGGTGCTCGAGCGTCTGTTAGTCTGATAGCGAATCAGCCCGCCTCCACCCACCCGAACTCGAGAGGAAGCTCAGTCTGCACACCCTCAACATACCGAAACGGATTAGCGAGTCCGTGTACGCCTTCGGTCGGTCACAAAACCACCGCTAGCTTCGGCCGCGACTGTCTTCAGGAGTTGCGCTTGTATGGGTGCATGGTTTCAACTAACGCGTATTTACCGAGCAGTTACCGTGGGGTTACACACGAGAGTGGTGCGTAATGAGACTTTCCGGGCGGTGAGTTAGTGGCATATTGCGCACGCCGAGACCATTGGTGGCCTTGTCAGTTGGTGGATACGCGGGAGCAACTAACCGTTGGGACAGACAAATTACGAACGGGTCCGGTGGCTGCTGTGTGCCGAGTTCGTGAGGACAGGCCATCAACTAACAAGTACTCAAAGAGCTAACGTTGGGGCTGTTAGCGTTCGCGGCTAAGTGCGAGGTGGCTGTCTTGGGATGCCGACCTTTTCGGACGTCGGGAGTTGTTGCGCTCTTTCGTGATTGAAATGCAGGACAGATACTGTAAAAACTGCAATTATGCCACCTCCCTTTAATAGTGGACGCCTACCAAAAGTGTTCTAATCACCAGGCTTCGTCAAACTAGGATATCCGTCCTAGTGCCTATATTACCTTAATGAAGGAAGGCTGGGGACCCTTAATATAGGATGGATCTCTACTCGATACTTAATGAAGCGGATGAAGCCTAATCAACGACTGCGCTGTGCGCTACTTTCACTACAGTGGCTACAGTAATTAGTCTGGGCTCAAAATTAGTCTGGCTTCAAATTAGTCTGGGCCAGACTAATTCGTGTCGAGCAAAAATGGACGTCTTCATTATCAGTCTGGCTAAAAATGTTCATAATTAGTCTGACGTGGTGACCACGATTCTAGTCCACCCCCACCTACTTTAAGGCACCGCATGCTGAAAAACGCCTTTGACTGCAGCCAATTTACTAGATCTCGTACAATATCTGCAAGATATAATAGATACCTGGGTATCCAACCCATATATCAGCCTTCTCTAACCATTAGAGAAGCACCATCTGTGACGATTTAGTCTTGATTTCTCTTCAAAGCCACGATAAAGTATAGCTACACTATAAAAATACTAAAACAAATACGTATAAACACATCATTTCACAAAAATAATGGGTTTCTTACTGGAAAACGGACATTTTTAGATATTCATAATTAATCTGAATTCAAAATTAGTCTGTCACTGTTGGGGCCAGACTAAAAATTGTGAGCGATCAAAAATCTGGTATTCAGATTTAGTCTGGGCCAGACTAATTACTGTAGGCACAATATAAGCTCCAAGTACTGCGAAGCATGTAGCTCGTCTTCTGGCGAGAAATCGGTGAGTTGACCCCAATGCTCGCTCTTCATGCGTTTCAGGATCGAGATCTCCCCATGTCTCGGTTGTTTTGAGCCTAGATAGGCGGTCGACATTGTTTCCAAACCTTCGATCGACTTGATACTCTTCCTTCAAGCTACGATGCTGGGCCCAAATTTTCCCTACCACCGAATCGCCGTACTGACTGGTAAATCGGTCTTCATGCCTGTTAAATGACTCGGCAAACGCGCCATGAGTGATTCTTTACGAGTCGCCATGGCGTATACTGTGTCCTGGGCGGACAACGTAATGCCCAGGACCCCGTCAATAGATCCTTGTTCAGCATCACGAACTACGAGAACCAAGCCAAATTGTCTCGCATCTCTTAAAGTTCACTCGAAAACAATGACGCCTTACACTCAGTCTTCACCTCACTTAAGCATCAGGGCGGTTCTGGAGCGTTGTCACTAGCTTATTGCGGGCCGAGTACAGTACTGCTCGGATAGAGTGACATGTTTGTACTGCAGTTACTCAAATCATAACTTGGCTGGCCGCGCGAGATCCGTGACCACAGACAAACTATCCACCTCAAACTGATCGAAAGCGAGCAACCCTTTTCTTTTCGCAGCGCAACCGATTTTAATAGTTGCGCTTGAGTGTCAAAAACTCGCAGGAGTCATAGATAGAGTCCCACCGGGTTTCAGCATAGTGAAGACAGCTCCCTACACTACGTTTGGTAGACACGTGCGTTCACGTGAAAGACATCTCTGAACCTAGGATCGTGCGAAAGTCACAACAAAGCTGTCTAAAACCAAGAGCAATTGGTTCATGGCCAGGTATAGTTCATAACGGAAGCCCCAATACAGTCTAGATCACTACAATTAGTATGTAGCCATCCTGTTAATACAGGACGCTGGCAGAGCCTTACTTTTGGAAGTGCGCCCAATTTATGTTCCTCCATCCTAGTTTGACGATGCCTGCTAATCACCCGCCATATCTGCAGCAGATATGGCGGGGCATAACGCAAAATAAATCTCGTGAGGCGTAAAAATCATCTCAATAAACAGACCTACCCCTAGACTTATGCAGTGAACCCATCTTAATCGTTGATCTTGAAGTTTGTATAGTCTATGCCGACCATCACTCTAGCTGTTGAAGCTGTCATATATCTTAGCATATCTCATGTTGCGCCCCTCGCCTTCGGCTGCTCACTTTTGAAAATCGTCAGCTGAGCAACAAGCCGCGTTGCCCCTACAACGAAAGGTACGCGCCTGTGCACGCATGCGTGTATTTGTTCAGTTATACTAACTGCTTTCTCTACTGCTAGTAACTATGGCCCGCTCAACTACCTACTGGCGCGTCCGCTGCATCCAGGACTCGAGCGACGAGGAGAACACCCCGCCGAACGTGGTGGCCCAAGGCAGCGTCCGCGGCGAGGGGAGGAATCACCGGCCCAGCGCGAAGAAGACGACGCCCGCGGAGAGCGACAGCTCGACGGGGACCGCGACTCCGCCGTGGGTGGCCCCGCAGCATGGCCTCCGCGTGCCTAAGGCGGACACGAACCCAGCCCCGCCCGAGACGACGACAGACGCCGCCTCGTCGACGCCGCCGCCCATGCGAAACCCGTGCAGCCCCACGACGTCATCTCCGGTCCTGATGGAGACGCCGCCGTCGCCACCCCCGCCGCGCACACGACCAAGGCCCCCGCTTCGAGAGCGTCGCAGCGCCCGCCAGGAGCGCCGAGCTGCTGCTGGTCCGTACGCACGCCGCCGTGAACAGCTGCAGCCTCCGGCTTCGCCGACGGTGAACCCGAGCGGCCTGATGCGAACGAGTCCAGCCCCTGCTGTTCGCGCGGAGCCTCGTGTCCCCCGTCCACGCGACCGACTCGTCCCGGCGCAGTGGCCATTTCGCGTGGCTCACCTCCGTGAGCAATTCAACCCGCTCGGCACGGTCTTCCCTGCAGTGCCCCACTTCGGCTGGTGTGACTGCTCGTCTTCGTGCCGAGTGAGGAGCTGCCGCAACTCGTTGATGCAGTTGTACTGCAATCGGAAGTGCTGTCCGTACGAGGGCATGTGCGGGAACGGACTGTTGGAGTCGACGAAGAGAGGAACGCGCGAACGCGGCAGCTGTCTGTGGTGGCCACCGACGACATTGAGAGCGGCGAGGTGTTGGGCCAGTACTTGGGCGAGCTCGAGCACGTGAGCGTCGCGCCCGAGAACCGTCCGCGCAACGAGGGCTATCGCCTCGTCATGAGGCAGAGACCAGAGACGCCCAGCCACCCATCCGCGTTGCAATCAACGCCCAGCACCTGGGGGGACTGATGCGGTTTGTTAACCACTCGTGCGAGCCGGTGGCTACGTTCCACGAGGTGGCAAATGGGCGGCGAACGACGGTCGTGGTGGCTACGACGGAAGACGTGCTCCAAGGGCAAGAGATCACGGTTGACTACGGGGACGACTTGTGGTTTGTCTGTCGCTGCGGCAGCGAATCGTGCCGCCACCGCGCGATCCAGGACCAGCGCGACCCGTAGGTGGAATGCAGAGAAGGTGTAGCAAGTGATGAGGAGAGATGTGTTGCATAGGTAAGCGTACTGTGATGAGCATGTGCAAGAAATCCATGAATCTGACAAGCATGTTTGATGTTGAAGTTGACTGTTATTGCTAGAAAATGGAACTTTTGTCTTCAACGTCGATTGCCTAGAGCCTTGTTTGGCGCCAAAACGAACGGTGGCCTGGACGTGAGTCTGCCGTGGTCATCGCGCGCGCGCGGTTTGAGCGCGAACTCGCGCACTGTGTTGGCTCTTCATTGGTGGTGGTGCGTCGAGGGGCAATTATCTGTGGTGTTGCTTAGGCGGCCGCTGACAGTGCAGCGGCTCCTTGCGATGTCATTCCTGCTTTTAACAAGCACCGCCCAAGTCCTCCGCTTCGAGCACAACTACTCCCCACCCCCAAGCCCTCCACCGCCGTTCCCGGTACGCTGCTAATGCTGCTTTGCATGCATTGACTACGTCGTTACACTCACACGCTCGTATGGGTTCTGTAGATGGCTAAACTTACTGGAAGCTCTAACTACAAGGTGAACGAGGTTCGCCGCCTCCTGGTTCTCGTCGCCAAGTACCTCCCGCTTGGGCAGGACAAGTGGGAGCGCCTCGCGAGTCACTTCAACGCCAACCGCGGCCGTGGCGTCGCCGAGCGCGACTACGTAAGAGGGCGCTCGCACGCGTGACCAGCAGGAAGCACAGCGCTACCCGAAACTTGCTAACTCCTCCAATAGGCTAGGAGGGGGAAACCTGGCCGACTTCCGCGACACAGTCGGCCGCAAGCGTGCGTACGAGGAGCTGACCGAAGCCAGCTACGCGAAGGCAAAGCGTGCCCGGGCTGCCAAAGCGACAACGGCGCTGAAGAAACGGCTGAGCGACCTCGAGAGGTCAGCCAGCAGGATGGGAGGCAACCTCTTCGAGATGATGCTGGTGATGCGCGAGGAGAACGAACGCAAGGCCGAGGCCCGACGCATGGAGGAAGAGCAGCGCCGCCGAGACGAGCTCGCCGCTCGTGAAGCGCGTTACCTCGCGGACAAAGCGGAAGCGGTGGAGCGGCGGCGCCAGGAGAAGGTCGAGATCGAGGAGCGTGCGCGTCGCGACAAAGAGGAGGCCCGTGCCCGCACCCAGGAGCTGATGCTGCTGATCGGCGCGCTGACGAAGAAGGACTGATCCACGCGCAGATGCAGAGGGTGCAGAGAAGTCAAAAGCAAGAGGGGTAGTTCATTTGTACCGTCTACATGTCCAAAGTAACCCTTGTTAGCAAAACGTCAACAGCGACAACAGCTAATCTCAATCAAGACATGACTATCACCTCGATATCAATTGGTTTCATGCATGCAAATTAGGTCTCGGCACTTTGCGGTGCCCAAGTCAACAGAGAGAAGAGAGAAGGAATACAAGATCTTTGATGAATATCCATGTTATTTACTCAAAGTCAAAGCTACAGCTTGTACAGACACAAGCGTTCGTCATACTGCGGCATCGCCATGTCGTTAGTGAAGGTGGTGCGAATCTCAGAGATTCCGACGGTGCGGACGCGGATGTTGGTCATGCGGAACATGTTGTTCAGCCTCACACCTCGTAGCTGCTGATCGTAGGGTATGGGTAGGTTTACACGGCTGTAGACCTTTTGAATGCTCCCCATGCCCCACTCTGCAGCCTGCCTCACTGAGGCGATCGCGTTGTGCAGCGTGCGCGCCGAGCTGCGCAACGAGGACAAGATCCTGTCCAAGTCGCCGTCCTTGAGGGGCGTGAGGATTCGGCCGGTCATGGCCGTGGAGCACGGGAAGGCCGAGTCGGAGACGACGTTCAGGCGCTTATCCGGGCAGAATTTCGGGCCCGTCAGCTCCATGCGGAACTCGAGCGACGTGTCGGAGTCGTTCCACGACCCCGGGCAATTATGCTTGCACCAGATGATGCAGCCGTCGGCTGCGAAACAGATCGTCCCGGTCACGAAGCCTGAGTGCAGCCATCCGTTGTACATTGCGTTTTGTTGATCGGCGCTAGATGGTTGCTGCACCTGTACAGTACGTCAAGAATAATGTTAGCAAACAGGTAACCAAACTAATAAAACACACTTACAGTGTTCATACGTACGCGGAAGTTTTTGCCGTCTGTGAAGCCAAATGTATGCTTCAGTAGCGGCTCCCGTGCCTCCATCAGCTTGGCCAGCTGCGTCTGACGAGAAGGCGAAGGCCATGAGATGCGCGCGGGTGCGTAGCCATCCAACGCCTTAGCAAGGGCCTCCTCCGCTCTTTTCAACGTTCTCGATAACGTGCTGGGTGGCACTCCAAAGAGCATGCACAAAGTGCTCTGCTCCATGGAGCCCACGTAGAAGCATAGGACGAGGCCAAGTGCCTGGTGGTGATAGCGTAGCTTAGGAGGGCGGCCCTTTGTCGACGGCTTTGGAATGTAATAGAAGCTACAAAAGCGGCTGAGAAGCTGGTGGAAGGCGGTCCTGCGCATGCATGCATCAAATAGAGTCAATTCTGAGAAAACAATGCGCGCGTCATTCATACCTTACCTTGTTAGGCTAGTTGCGTTTAGGACGTTGCGGTCGTGGCCGCTGGTGTACAAGGCCATCCACGCGGCCTCGCAGGGCGTGTCGAGGCACTGCGAGGTCAGGTAGTGGCGCGTGCGCACCGCAAAGCGCCACGCCTCCTCCACCAACGCGTCGTGCACGTCACGGCGGGCCTCGTGCAGCTTCGCGTTGTGCTGCAGGTACACCTCGCACAGCAGCAGCATCGTGTCCTCTTCCTCGCTCATCTCGTCCGCTCTTGCGTAGCTCCCCACCCGACGTGAAATGGCGAACTTCAAGCGGGGGCGAAATCTGGAAGGATTGCGCATGTTTTAGTGTCCTAGACTAAGTGCCCGGATACAAATGCCATTGAATCGTATCAGTGGCCGAAGGGGACTAAATAGAACGATCGGAGATGCCCTTAAATGTCTTTTGTGGTGGAGCAAATTTAGGATAAGCCGACGTACTCGGAAATAAGAACCGCCATATCTGCTGCAGATATGGCGGGTAATTAGAACACTTTTGGTAGGCGTCCAGTGCCCCACCCCATGAAATTTGACGTCTTTGGCTGGGGACTTGCGATAGTGCCGCACCCTCAAATAGAGCCCCACCCCAACCTTTTATTTGAAAATTGAGTTGATTCTGAGTTTTTCCTCATAAATTCCAAATATTTCACATCATAATCTTAAGGTTTGTATGTCGACTTACCAATGGCAGTGATTACTGTCAAATTTATTCTGTAAATAGGTTTTTAACGCTAGTTGTTTTTGGCTCCCCACTCCCTTTAATAGTTCCCCCCTTGTAATAATGTCCTAGGTTGGCAGGGGGGTACTGCTGCAATACCCCACGGGGCATAATTAAGTTTTTACAGTATATCGAATAAGTAGGTGTGAAATAAAAAAATCAATGGAGCAATTCCCACACCGTTTTGAATCCTAGATCTACATATATTGCAACTCTGTGATTGGTCGCCAAGATTTAATTCCGCCCTTTCTTCGCATTTGCGAGAAAATGTATAAATCGCAGTTCGAAGAACTGTCGATTGGGGAAGGTTTTTGGATGATATCGAACGACATTCACGCTACATTCGTCACTTCTCCCCCGTGCGGATGACATCAAACAACATTCACACAACATGATACAGCACTCGATCGAATCGGCCTGAATGACACTTACAGGTTTTGATGGATGCCTATTCGCCTCGGAGCTTTTTTTCCTTCTACTGTAGATTGATGTCAGATGCCATCAGAGGAAGTGGGGCTCCATCATAAACATCAGACTACTACGACGAACAACGTATTGTGTCTTAGCAAGCATTGTATTCTTTCGATCAATATGAGGCATCGGTGCTAATGATGCTAACCTTGGACACAACTGGTGCAACATCACTGCATCATATTATACTTACTACTGTACATGCAGCTTCAAAGTACTCAACATAGTACTTACTGATTCCATTAGCGGTAAAGTTATCGATTCGATCTGTTATGCGTCATAACTTATACTCTCCTCTTTCAGACACAGATTTTCTTGTGCATGCATAGTTTCTGAGAGAGAGAGAGAGAGAGAGAGAGAGAGAGAAAATCGTGTAGTCAGCTGAGTTTGCCGTGCCATAAACTGTCGGCGGGCTGATATTGTGTGAATCCCCACACTCGTTGGAATTAATCCGGATGGATAGATAAAATATTCCACTAAAGCCTTGCAAAAAACTACTTAAAGTTCTAGGTTGTGCGATCCAAGATGGGAAGTATAGCTCGATTTTTTTTTCGTTCAACATAGTTTTTTTAATCCAAACCCAACTCTTCCCCCCGGCAATGCGGTGACGACCTATACGGTGGCGAACGAGTTCATTCAGCGGAGACTCAAAAAGAGCTGCACCTGGTGGTACGTCTTCTCCGGAAAAAAGGCTAAAAGCTAGCTGCAGTAGCTTAGGCATTTATCTACGAAGACTTGGATGATTTAAGCTTGTCTTGTGTGAGGCTACAATGCGACCCGCAGAGATCCACCGAACTGGTGGTGTAGAATGATCTACTACTTGATCCTGTTCTTGTCAAAACGAGTTCAAAGTACAATCTCCAACTATAGTAACTTCAGTATAGGGATTTGTACTCCGGCATAACCAGCTCGGCTTACCATTTCTCATAACAATGTTGATCGGCTCAATACAACGATACAATCAAACAGGATGGCGTATCAACTTTTTTAAACAGTGAAAGCGTGGCATGGGGAAGAACGAATTCCTTCGTGAGCTTCTGGATCAAGTCTTGGACGTCACTGATGGAATCCCTGCAAAGCATGTACCATGCAGCAGCATTTCCCCTGAAATTGGCGTCATCATGGCAATGATGCGCTTACTCTGATTCTCATCTTGCCAATCAATGTTCTTCGCCTCAAAGTAATGAACAACTTGGTCGAAATACAACTCAACCGAGTCGCCCATGTTGCCATAGAAGCGAGGTAGGCTTATGCCCTCAACTTTGACTTCCTTGCGTTGCGAAGTCAAAACGTCGATTAGTGCTTGTTGCTTCTGCACGATTTCGACCACAGACTGGGTCAGACGGTCAGCAGACCATCCACCAGGATTCAACGAAGTCATGATAGTGTAACTTGAGCGAAAAGCTGATTAAAGTTACGCTACGAATGCAAGCTACTAGCTACTAGAACTAGAGCTACGATGACACTGTCAACAACTACGCGAAACGCGCGCGCTTGATGCTGATGATGCGATCAACGAAGGCACGAACTTCGTTGTCGATACGGTTGACACAGATGTTCAGGTTGTCGACGGTCTCGTAGAGAAACAGTCCAAACTCAGTCTCGATGACACGGTCGAGGTGAGTCTCGAAAAACGGAAAGAACACTTCACGGAGGTGATCCGTCAAGCAATTAACCTCGTACTGCAAACGGGTAGCGGCACGGATGGTGAAAGCGCGTTGAACGGCTTGTTCGATGGTGAGAATGCGACGATGTTGGTGATCTTCTTCCCACTCACGAGCAGTACGCTTAGGCATAGACTGGAAAATACCCGAAGCTTACGCCAAAGCTTACCAGATACTTGAAAATTACGCGAAAAAATCAGGAAACAGCTGAAAATTACGCGGATTCTCCAATTCGGAATTAAACGGGTTCTGGGGTTTAGGGTAACTACTGATTGGCTGAGCCAATTGTAATTGCACTAAAACAATGCGAAAAAGCCCAAAAACTTCACAAATTAACACTTAAACAACACTACTTAGAGCTAATTCAAGCGTTGACGCTTGGACTTGGAAATGGCTGTTTTCTGGCTGAAATCCTGAATAAGTAGCTCTTCCTCTTGAGCTTCTTCAAGCGCTCTTTGACGCGAGCTCTCCTTAAGTTCACGGTCGAACACAGTAGTGAGCGTGTTATGGATACGCACTACTTGTAAACTTAGGATGTGGCAAGCTTCTTGATAAAGTATACGCTCGGACTCTGAGCGAAAACTCCCCTCCTGAGCCTGCAGGTGGTGAGTCAAGCTTGCAAGGCGGTTTACTGCAAGTAACCCCTTTAAACGAAGTCGATCTACTGCTTGTTGACTTGGTTTTGGGTTTGGTTTACCTTTTTGGTTGTTCACCTTGGTCATTCAAGGCCAAGTGAAACAAAGGTTTCCGCAATATACTAGGCTTACGGGCGTGAAGGTGTCTAGTGAAGCTAAAAGCGTTAAACTAGTACAATCCTCCGAATAACTAACCGTTAGCGAAAAGCGTAAGGCTAGTTTAGCAACAATCGACTAGCGAAAAGCGTTAATGTCGACTATGCAAGACTTTTACGGCTAGCGAAAAGCGTTAATCTCGCTAAGTCAGAGTGCACGTAGAGAACCAGTTCAAGCGAAAAGCGATAACCCTAACCCGGACGTTGTAGCAGTAGTCGAGCTGAAGCCGAAGTAGCGAGGCGAGTCGGTTGGAGCTGCAAAGAGCAACGTTATCAAAAGAGCAACGTTAATGGTTACGAAAAAAAATATAATTGTCACTTTTGAAACGCTTTTACGTGAGCTTGATCAGTTATCTACTCTTACAAGAAGAACTATGTCTCGTTGTCGAAGAAGTACAGCCCAGAAAACCATTGGCATCCGCGATAAAACGTACCCATGCAGAGATAAATGAATCCGAGCACCAGAGTATTCACATCTGAGTCTCTGTTAGCATACTTTGCGCTCACAAAAGTGTACTCGTGGTGTGTGCCACTTCAGAACTCTCCCACCCTCACATCTGAAGTCCTCAGTGAGCGCACCTCGTGAGCCTACTATGTACTCATTCAACACAGATAATACCTCAGAAATAAATTACCTATGTGCAACACACGAGGAATTTATCCGATAAATTACAAGTCCGACCATGTCCTACCATGTACCCATATTCTCTGGATTTTATCCAGAGTCCATGGGCGAAGGCCACTGAGGTGTCATTATTCTCACATCAAATACCTGCTAAATATGGTTTTGAAAGATCTTAATTTTACACCTGATGTCACCTGTTATACTAAATAGTATGCTATCTAATCAAATTATGCTGTTATGTTGACCCATCCGGTTGAGATTAAGTCAAACTACCTACTATTTTGTATACCCTGTAATCATGTATATATATCTATGACAAACGATTTATCTGCTCCCTCAAACGACATCCGTCGGATTTTT